CTCACCCGACACCTGATTATAGATAAGTACAAGACGCAGTCATAAATTTTAAATGATGATTTAAATTTAATTTTACAAAATTATATGACTTTCGGCTGGTCGTGGCTCTGTCGCTCTACCATGTTCTGTGAACGGTCATCGAACAGTCCTAACCACTCTAAACGCTGGTGAAGGAATTTTCGTGAAACAAATACACCTCCGAATTCAGCACCCCCTCTCTCCGAAAGGGAACGTTCGCTACGCTAAAGAACACGAGTAACACTTGAACTCCGTGGACGTGTAAATACTCAAAGAGTTGAAACACGCCAGCAAAAGGATCACGTGACTGCGTCAGGAATACCTTCGTAAGAGGCACTGTAGGAGTACCACAGATTTCAGGCAATCTTATCGGAAGCAGGCTTGGTTAGCTCGGCGAATACAATGGAAATGTAATGCACGGATACTGATATAGCTGACACACAATGTCAGAAAGAACTAGAAGAAACAGCGAGCAGTGACCGAAGGTTTGACCAAAGACCAAAAATGTGGATGAAACGAACTCGAACAACGGATTGCTTTTAGAGTACGTTGTGGGATAAAGAAAAAGAGCATACACCAATGAATTCAAATGCTGAATGACCTTCCATATTTGCCATTGTTTTGGTTCCGTTTCGATGCTCAGGCTCACTTTAAATAATTGATCGTATCGGACGCAAGGAAGAATCATTGTGTGCTATAAATCAGGCATTTTGCAGAATGCGGTCGAATGCTGCATATGAATTTGTCGCAGATGTCATTTCAAAAGATTTATTGCTTCATTGAACAAGGAATTATGATTATGATTGTTCTGCATAATTATGTTTCATACTGTTTTAGTTATGACTGACCATTACTACAAAAGCAGCTAGGTGTCCCGAAAATTTTTTTCCATCTCATGCCTCTGGTACCAACGCTGTGCAATGTAATCACTATTCAATAACCTTTCCACTGGGGCACGTCTTTGCACCGCTTCTCACGAAGCTCGACTTCGCTTGATTGTGCGGGCTTTGCGGTCGATTAGTCAACACTTTTCACTTGCTGCCATCCAAGTATTCGAACAACTTATAAATCACGCCCTGAGCAAACATAATTTATCGACTCGTCCGGACGACTAAAACGCTGTAAATCACGTTTTTTGCCACTTACCATAATTATGGTGCATTGTGTGACGTTTTTCGATAATCAAATGCTTTGAGCAGAGCATGAAGTTAATGCCAGAAAATAGGCGACTCGTTGTCATAACCTACCAACTTTCATAAATCATATGTCACTATGATTATTGTGACAGGTATCACCTTGAAAGCGGTCTATTCTGATTGCATTTTCTTTCCTGACAGTAACAAATAATCACAATGATACAAAATTATAATGACGCGGCTAATTCCGTAGTTTGCACAATTCCTCCATAAGTGACGAATGCCATGCTGTTAAATACTGTATGCAAATGATATACAGTTAATGCATGGCAGATGTGAACGCTAAAGAATGGGCTTGATTTCGTTAGTCCGTCTGTTTCATAAGATTTGTACTGAGGTGTATGTTTGATCGACGTATTGCCCATCCCTCGTCTCCCAAAAAATGCAGAATTTCCATAAAATGTCGAAATGGGATCAAAATGGTATGAGGCTCGGTGCCAGTGTTCGCCTCTACACGTTTTTTCTCAAGAAGGAACCTGTTCTGGTTAAGACATTTCCTTAGAACGAGATCACTTCGAGAATGCGGCAACACGTCTTGAGCACGCGCTTCACAGCAATTGCATTTGCATAATGATTGGCAAGTTTGCTGTCGATAAATCCTACCTCACATCTACGTAATGATGAAGGCGAATCATCTGATGTGCCGTGATCCATCAGTCAAATCCATTTCTGACTTTTTCTTGCTCCCTTGGTTGAGCACATTTCCTGAGGCACATATTTAGCGCAATTCAGTATGCAAATATTCTTTGACTCACGTAGTCTCCAATCGCTGCTGTTTGACCGCATCAGGATCTTTAGATCAGACTATTGCAATATGAACTGGGTACATGCTTCCCATTTGTGAATACCTAAACATTACCGAAACATGGACCATTTAGCAATACTTCATTTTTCATGTATGTAAAAGGACCAGTTTTTTTCCAAAGGCTGTTTAATAAATATTCGATGTTAAAATATACATGATTTAGCGTATGGCAATAACTAGCGTCATTGTCTTATGACATGGAGGACGTTACAGACCTACTGTCTAAAAGCTGCTCATCGTTCAATTGCACTAGCGATTTCAAACAGGATTTTTGCCATCATCTGCAGGGTTGAAAAAATCCGTTTTCAAAAGCACTCATTGAACAACGTTCATCAGAGCCGATTGTCACTGTTAGTGAAGACCAAGTGGCATGCCACGCATCAAGAACTGGTTCTGGTACTGGCTTACCGGTCAGATTTATCACAGGTGCTCATCAAGAGAAATAGGACGTCGTTCAAAGATTTGGAGCAGTTTCCCAATTGGGCGGTAGTTTGCTTTGCGTCTTAGTGGTGGTGGGTTTCATCCTCAAGTGTGGGAGGAAATTTCTTCCATTAACTGTTGACTTCTTGAGCGGTTTCTCATTCGTATGGGTAATAATGGATACTCAAATTATGAAAGGTCGCCAATCAGCGCATCATATGACATAAAACACCACACTGAGCCATGTGGTCGGAAAAGAAAATTTCATTCGTCTGCGCAGTGAGCACCTTTTAGAAACAATATGCGAAATGTTGAATGCACGTGATGAATGTCAAGCAATTCTACTCTTGTAAACAATGGCTAGAGATAATGACAAGAAAATAAATAAGTTGTTGTCGTCATCATCACCTGGAGTATCAACGTCAAAGACCAAGTACACAGATTAATTATGTCTGACCCTTTGGTTTCTCAGCACGATTTAGGCGACGTTGGTTGCTGCGGCGAAGGTCATGTTCCTCATTGCAAGCAAGCCCATCTCTGGGAGACGCTAGAGGGTGCGATGCTGCCCTCTGACGTGTCTATAGACATTTCTTCCATCCCAGAGGAGAATTTTTTTGGATAGGTTTCCATTCTTTCTCCGGATGGTTCTGTCAAAACACGACCCACCCGATCCCTGATTTCTTCCGACACATTCTTAGGCCTGTCATGTGAGGGATGTTTGCATTCCTCACTCGTTGGAACCGTCGCACTTTCCATTGAATCTTCAGGTCATTAGTCGAGTCGGACGCTCAACTTCGTTTTGGTCGGTTAACTTCGAGGCCTGCCATCGAGCACCTAGCATGACATTGTAGGGCTACGGCAGGAGGTCATTATATAAATAAACGCTCTCACGGGCTCATCTGAATGTAAACGATATGGACATTGAGGAACAGTGATGAATAAAGTGACTGGGTCCGCAATCTGTCATGCTACGTAGTAGGTTCTATGGAAATTGATGATAATTAATTATTGATTGTTTCATTCTCGTTCCCTCAAGCCGACAAGATAATTGCAGGGAAGTTCATAAAGTCAGCGTTTTAGAGTTTTCAGATGATAATAATTCATCACCATAACCACTGTAAAGTTTACTCCGCACAGTCAAAAAATCAACAATTTGCCAGATGTTTCGAGTCGCATCTGATTCGTCCTCAGGGCCAATATCACACACTCACAGATTATCAATGTACAACAATAATCATGCATGTTGGTACTCTGTTTGTGCAACGTATCACTTCTGAGGATGAATCAACAGTGCCATCTGAGACGTCTAGCAAATTGTTGATACTTCGATTATGCGGAGTACGATCCTGTTTCAGATTATGGCGATGAAGAATTTTTTTCCAGCATAAAGCATTCTATTCATGTTTTTAATTGAGGATGACGACGAAACAGCAAAAAGCGACTATCAGGGCTTACTGAAATCAATCGAGGAACCTGTCAACGCTGATGAATTGCAGAAAGCGATGCTACTTGAAATAACCTGGATTTAAAAACGAGCAACGCATCTACCTACCCTTTGATAGAGGCATTCAGTTGAAGTGATTTTTATATCACTTATGTTATATTTCATTGATAGTGATTGAACTGAAGAAACCAACAGCATCAGCAATAGGAATAATATTCCGATTCGTGTTCGTTTGCGACGGTTAAGGATAACCTGTCATTGAATTATATTAGATGACCACCGGTAGATTAATAAATTTCCGTACACCGTATACAAAACGACCGTCAAAGGTCAGTTGTTATCTGAAGTAGAAGATGCCATTGAAAGAGAACCATTATGAGACGAAGAAGCAGGTTATCATATAACAGCTGACAAAACTGAGGAGCATCATTTTTAGCCTACGCCATGTCAAAATATCCACCGGATCGAATGGGACCAGATCAGAAGAGCCCATTGTGTGCACGCATAAAAGCCAAGCGGCAAGCGGTGCATCTACGATCATTAATGCTGGCCGGCTTTATCGCAACAGGAAGACCAATGACAATGCTCGACGATCACGTGACCATGGATATGTTGAGCATATTGATATTGTTGTCGTCATTGTGCCGCGCCGGAACACCATTGACCACGGGTTTCGAGTCGATACTAGGAATTTGTTGGTTAGCTGACTTGGAACGACCGCGGCGGCCAGCAGCTGGCTTTGTAATCGAGACCGTCCACTAGATGGTCACAATTGTCCAGCGGTGGTCTCCGTTGTAACCGGAAGATGATCAGCTACGGCGACCACAATGCTCCTAACATCGGACATTCGTTTGTCCAAGGTGAAAGGATGTTCAAGATGGATACGGTAAGTCAGAAAACTCTCTGTCAACTGTTTCGATGAGGCCATGGTTCACGGTTAGAGGTCGAAAGTTTAAATCGTTAGACCTTTCCAGCCAAAAGTTCATTTTTTAAACGAACCCGTCAATCTGGTAAACTTTCCTCGCTTCGTCGAGTTTGCGGGCCATACGGCGCGATGCATGCGTTTCTGGTGATGCGTCATGTTACACAATGTAGGAGGTGAACCTGTAGCATACAGGAAAGCACTGAAAGCCATGTGTAGCTTTTATGCGCAGCTCAAGGTTACAGTAACAGCAAGGGAACCATGACATCTGGGATTTTTCTTTGAGAGGGGGCAACGCGGTAGCTGTCAGGCTCCATAAATCAAAATGTCAAAGATCATGCCGTGTCTTTAACAGAGGTAATGAAAAGCGAGTCTTATATGAGAGTCCCTTATACTTTTACGACGGATCCATTTGTGGCGCATAGATGATGATCTCCATTCCACGCCATCAGCCGAAAGTTTTTTTTTTTCTTTAAAGGCAGAATGTACAGGTACATAGCGTGAAGTTTTCCGTTTCCTTCCCACACAGTGGATCTAATTTATCAACCTCATAAAGACAAAGGGAATAGCCTGAGCGAGTCTCAAATCCGGGACCTCTCAGCCCGGCGCTGTGCCGACTGAGCAATTGTAGTCCAAAAAAATATTGGAATGATTTACGAGCTTGCATTTCGTCCCTACCCAGCTGTGTAGACGTTATCAGTCAGATTAGGTATTTTTCTTTTAGTAGGCAAGTACTTTCTTTTCCTCAAATTGCTTTACGAATCTTAGGATGAATGTTAATAGCATGGTTGCACTCAGGCAAATAATGATGTCCTAATTAAATTCCAGGACAGGCACTAGTTGAAGGGATAACCTCTTAGACGATAATCACCAAGCAAAACATTGATGTATTGTATTAGATACAAATACAATTTTGTTTATCCAAAACAGTTTTGACTTTCTGTTGTTTACATATGTATAAATTGAAGAAGCTTATTTTACCTCTTCAAAACCATCAAAGCCCAGCTCCTCGTTTGTCTGATAGAAAGGAGAGGAAACAGCAAAGGAAGTGTGGCAGTACGGATAAGAGTACTCTGCTCTTAGCTGCTTGAAGGATGTGTCCCTAACTAAAAGATTAAGCCACGAAAAAAATATCCGTCTGGACTGGCTTCATTTCCTTCATAAGGGATGGTTCGTCCAAGTGGAAGAATCGTTTCTGAGATTCATTGTTATAGTTAGCGATCCAATGACACAGTAACAATAACATCATATCCTAACGTTCAGCGGTCTGCAAATGATGAACTGATAAGAGCCAAGCAATGGTTGACAGCAACTAGCTCCATTCATGAAATTCTGTGGAAGATTTGGAGGTTTCCTTCCTCCTGA